GGGGGCCCCCTGCCGGCTTCTCGGTGCAGCCTCTCGGGCGGGTGGAGGCGTCCTCACTTTTCGGAGGAAAGAGGATCGTCGGGGACTTGAAGTCTTCTTACAGGGAGGGAGAGGGCTGAATGCCACTCCCCATCCAGAGCGCGTTTTAAGGTCTCCAAGACCTGTCAGGCGGCTGTCCTCGGGGCCCAGCCCTGCCCCTCCCAAGCTGATTGTGGCAGCCCCCTTTCCGTTCTCAGACTCGTTCCAGTGTATTCCAGGCTCCTGTGGACCAGGCCATCAGGGCCACTGCGGAGTTACTCGATCACAACAGCATGGGAGACTTTTGGGGAGAGCTGAAGGGTGAGGTCATGCCAGCTGGAGGGAGTGACCTCTGCAAATACAGAATGGGATGGGGATGGGGGGCAGTTAGGTCAGGGTAGTAGAGGCCCAGTTCCCTACCTTGGTCCCGCCCTGGGAGTGGGGGCAAGGCAGGGGAAGCCTCGCCCTCAGGGTGTTGGGGTGAGGTGGGTGGGTATGAGGCAGCAGAGGCTGTGGCTGTCAGGGCTGGACTGCTCTGCTCTGTTACCACCCAAGGCCTGGGGGCCTCTTGTCTTGGCCTCTTTTCTGGAGGGTCAGGAGCCTTACAGTCCAGCTCAAGGCCTGCATCTCCTTCCTCTAGTTCTCTGTTCCCTCCAGGCACATCAACCCTTTACTTGTCCCCAGTGCCCCATTTTTCATGCCTGGACCCCTTGCAGACTGTCCCTTCTGCTAGGACACACTTCCTGCCATCCACTGGCCAACCTCAGGATACAGCAGAGCTGCCCCTTCGGCTGCTTGGGGGCTTCAGTCAGCATTCACGCTCTGGAGGGGCTATTGAATGATTCCGTGTCTCCGAGATTTCCTGTGATTATGCTTCACTCCCCTGGAAGGTCACAGCTGGCTCCCTGACGGATGCTGGCTTCCGGGGCAACACAGAGGGGGATGCCTTCCCAGGTTGGCTGTCCCAACCCCCTAGCCAGGGCCCCTGTGCTGGAGGGGCAGGCGGTTTGAACCAGTTCGGCCTCCCTCTCCCCACTTGCCAAGATCCCTCAGCTGATGCTGCACTCCCCACTCCCACTACCCAAGGGTAGACCCGACTCCTCCCGGCCTCCAGGTGACCTTTGTTGCCCCCACTCCATGGCGCAACCAGGCTGAGGTTCCTCAGATCCTTGCGTGGGTAGGAAGAACTCCACTCCGGGTTGTTCTGAAGGGTGATGCGGGGAAGGCGGTAACAGACAGAGCTGTAGGGGAGTCAGGCTCATAAGGTATCCAGGATGGGTCTGCGACTACCTGTTCCGCCCGTTTTACCCACCACTACCCGCTCCCAGCCTGCAGCATCAGCAGGTCTTGCTCGCGGGGACTGAGAGAACGCGGCTCAGCACCGAGAGCCCCCCCTGCACCTGCACCGAGGACCTCGGGCGCATGCGCGGGCCGAGGCGGGCGGGGGCGGGGTCCTGGCTGCTAGGGGGTCCTTCGGGCCCTGCTCGCCGCGGGGATTGGGTGTCGGAGTGTGTGTGTGTGTGTGTATGTGTGTGTGAGTGTAAGTGTATGTATGTATGTGTGTGTTTTGCTTAGCTGAGCCGGACGTACAGGGCTGCGGGCAGCGTAATCATCAGACCCCACTTGGCCCGCGTCGCCACTCCTGCCAGCCCGTGTGGCTCCAGTCGCGGGTCCCTAGCGGCAGCGGGCCGGAGTCTCGTCATCCCCTCCCCGGGGCTGCCGGGCTCCGCGTTCAGACAAAGGGGAGGGAGATGGAGGTGGAGATGCTTCCATGACGGCGCCCAGCTGCCACAGAAGAGGGAGACGCAGCGCTGCGGGTCCGGCAGCACGGCTGCGGATCCCGGCTCTCCGGATCGCGCGTGGCGGCTGTGTTGCGGGGCGCAGGGGGAGGGGCGGGAGGCGCTGTCACGCGCTCTCTGCCCCTGTCCTGAGCTGCGCCAAGCGCCCCTCCGGAACCCCGAGCCACTGCCACCGTCCCCCTCCCCCGTCCGCGTAAACGCTGGTCACCGGCCACTTTGCG